TAAACTCTGTCATCTTTGTAAAATTCAACGAATTAGTCGTGGGGCTGAGCCTTCGGTCCCTGCAAAGCAGTGTGCTCCCACTGTTCCATCCCCACAAGCATATATAAACAAGGCCACACACCCACACCCACACTGCTTTACTTTCAAGTTCCCAGATATACACTGCTGCCTCTGTGCTCAGCAAACAGGCTCCAGATAAAGACCTCACTCATACGTGTCCTCAGATCCAGAAAATCAGCTCAACTTTGTCCTTCGATCAAATGGTGGCAGGAAAGAAATGGTCAAAATGCAGAGCTGGATACTGAACCAAAGCGACGGAAGGAGGAAATCCTGCCACACTCTGTTTCCTGTGACCCGTCACACATACACACACCATCACCCATAAATTAACCTTCTTGCTCTCGACAACAGGATGGAGGTGCAAGACCCTGTCACAACCCCTCGTTTAGCACAGTCTAGATCAGAGACATATTTGAAGAGAGTTGCAGCATCGCTAGAAAAAAGAGTCACTTACCAATCAGGACCAAGTTCCTTAACCTAATATCTATCAGAAAAGTGTAAAGAAGAGCTAAGGCCACATTGAATTCACTGAAGGATTTGTGTGAGAAATTCAATACATCATCTCTTCCTCAACAAGAGTCTACAGCCAAGAGAAATTCACTGTGCCATCACTTCAACAAGTTCCAACCATCATTTACCTCCCTGACTTTAGACACTGGACTGCTTCTCACTTATTAAAATTCAGATACTTAAAAGGCGGTTGGTTATGCATTGTGATTACTTCTGAAGGGGGTGATGTTTGGGTAGGGGGAGGTGGAGAAACAAATTATGGATGTGAAGGGGTTGCTTACTGGGGGAAGGGGGATTGCTGTGGGCATATGGTGACTGGAGCATATGAAGTGGTTTGACTGCTCAATCAGGTCACATGAAGTAGGTCAGGAGCACCGCAGACGTTTCCCAGGATGGTTGGCTTAATCTGCGATGAATTTAAGGCCTTTTCTTCTGTGATTTGGACAGGAAAGACTAGTTTAGTCGTTCACACTCTGAAATGATTGAGCCAAAATGATATTTTGTTGATGTTAAAGCTCTAAATTTTGCATCATGTTCACATTCCCTCCCATTATGGAGGGTATCTGGGCCACACTCTGAGGTTTTGTTTATGACTCATAAACTCAAACTGTCTGGATGCATGTACCTAAAAATCGCAGTCACACCTTAGGGAAGTTTGAGCACCACATTTATCCTGGTGTAACGTCAGGGTCTCGCTGCAGGTGTCCAGTTTCCCTCGCTCTTGTCATTCTGCACTAAACTGCACCAGACTGAACTGTGCTGGATTGAGGGGGTTTAGTGGACTATGTAATCTGTTTGACTCTGCTTATGTGAAACTGCAGAAAATGACTCATTTGAGTCCGTGTCTACTTGTGCCCTGTATCATTACTTTTTTGGGAGATGGTGAAGGAAGCTTAAGCTGAAAATACATCTCATGTCTTTAGCGGAGCAACATTAAACGTACATTACATCCTCTCAGTACATCAACCCATGAAATTGTCAAGACTGCTATTTGTGTTATGTCTGGAGAATGTCACTTTGTTTAGAGCGGCAGATTAAGAATGAAACATTTGTCCAGAAGAGACACCTATGCATAAACTAATGAATGAATACAACTGAAACATCTGTTCATGCTTGACCACTAAAGTAATGCACACAGGAAGTGGGACCCCCTCCTTTTCTGCAGGGGCAGGAA